GTCAGAGCCAATCAGATAAGAGACATAGTTAAGTCAGCTTAGGAGCCCCAGACAACGCAGAGATTGGATGTTTTATAGATAGTGATTGAAGTATATTGGAAACATAAGCTGCACTATGCATGTCAGTGCTCGAGGAACAATGCTGACTTAGAAGCTTATGGTTTGTATAACGTGCCCATGTCACATTTTCCATTCAGATTGAGAAGCACAAAACCTTCAAGTTGTTAGTCTCATCCTCTGACTTGATGTTATATGCTGTCAGCAGTCATTGACAATCGATATCCAGTGTTGTAGTCTCTGTACAAATAGAAAGGATGTTTGAGAGAGACTGTAATCAGTTTTCTGTCTCTGTCTCTCTCACACACACTCACTCTCTCACGCTCACTCTCTCTCTCTCACACACACTCACACTCACACTCACACTCACACTCACACTCACACTCACACTCACACTCACACTCACACACACCTCCCCCCCCCCCATTAGATAGACACAGGATTTGGCCAACCATAACCTTGTTTATTAAAATAAATGTTCTGACACTTGATACAAATCACTTCAGCTGTTCTAAATATTACAACTCCTTGATGTATTCATTCAATTTTGATTCCTCCATGATTTAACCTTGGCCCCCAACCAAAACTTGGCATACCACAAGGATCAGAACTGGGACCCTTATTGGTTGTTATATTATTAATTGATATAGATGAAAATGTGGGAGGGGGAATGTTAAGCAAATTTGCAGGCGACACCAAGATTGGTAGAGTAGTTAATAGCGGAGAAGATTGTATTAGGTTACAGGAAGATATAGATGGTTTGGTCAGATGGGCAGACCAGTGGCAGAGATTGACAGTCCTCTGTGACTCCAAACCCCACAGACCAAGATCACTATCATTTGGTTGGAATGCATACAATCCCCAGTATGACTGGATCTTCCGTTGTTGATTATAGGACTGAATCAGGTTGGCCAATCCTGACTCTCCTGATTACAGTTCCAAACTCTTCATGCTTGTCTTGTTTATGATGATTCTTATCAAAAAAGTCATAAACATATTATCATAAACACTTCAGGAATTTGTTGTCACATGTACTCAAGTATAGGAATACAGGAATATAGTGAAAACTGTACAAACTGCCATTCTCCAGTGCCATCTTGGTTACACACTTAAGGATCATACTATCATAGAATCCCTACAATGCAGAAAGAGGCCATTTGTTTTACTGAACCTGCACTGACCCTCTGAACAGCATTCCACCCAGCCCCCTTACCCTATCCCTGTAACGCTGCATTTACCATGGCTTATCAACCATGGGGCAATTTGGCATGGTCAATTCATTGAAAGCAGTGAGAGATAAAACGAGACAGCACCAGGATGTTCATGCAGACTGAGATTTGGCCAGTAATAGATTGCTGATTGTTCCATGCAGTTGTGACCGGTGTGGATTGCAGAGATCATCAGTCTGACGACAACTCTGATTGGGCAGCTGAACAGCTTGCATATGTGAATGGTAGAGAGGCTGAAGATCTCCAGTTTACAAATAGCAGAGTCTGCCTCCACCTTTCTGCAGCAAAGTAACTCAAGCCTGGAAACAATCTGTTTTCTTCCACCATTTTCTATAATCTGCTGCCTGTAACCAATGATTGTAAAACTGCACAATTATTGTGTAATTCCTGGGACCTTCAGCAAAGAACAGAAAGAAGCTGAAAGGAATGAGATCAGGGAACAAAAGGTCTTATGAAGAAAAATGAACACCTCGTCGAAGCCTGTGAACTAGTGCTATTAAATCATTCCTGGGTCTTTTTCCTCCACCCATAACACCTTCTTTTTGTCTATGTTAAGGGCTTTTAAAAAAGGGGCATTAGAGTTTCAAGTAGTAGAATTATATGTTGGTAGTTTTGTTTAGCTGTGGCTAAAGCGTATTTATTTGCAATAAACAGTCATTCTTATTAAATAGAGGAACCTGGTCATCGTTACTTGTGAACCTGATTCCATCAGACAGGCAAATTAGGGACTTTGAGTATTTTTCTTAAATCATTAACTGTTGTGGTATCTCCGGGAGTAGTGGGGCTCAAGTATCAGTGTGCTTTCCTAAATAGGTCATAACAATATGTAGTAAGCGACCAGACGCAAGTGACTTTCAGGTAGGGAAGAAGACTAGTGTAAACTCAAAACAAGGCAAAGTTGCTTATGTTCTGTTGCAGAGGACTCGGTGAGTATTTTATTGAGGAATCTGACAGAAAAGGCAAATGGTCATGCACAATAAAATACTTGGCGCATTAAAAAAGGTAAGAGTTGCCATAGTCCCAGAGGACCATAGCGCTGCTCTCTCATTGCAGAGAGACGACAGGTGGTGTTGTACAACTTGAGGGTCACCGCTCCTCATGCAAGGAGCGAGGCTGAGAAAGCAGGAGTTCCATGGCAACCCTAGCCGAAATGGAACTGAAGTTAGCTCAGTTGACTAGACGGTTATATTGTGATGTAGTGATGCCAATGGTATGAGTTCAATTCCCATACTGACTAAGGTCAGCATGAAGGTCCCGCCCTCCCGACCCCACCCCTCAGTTAACGTGCAGGGACCCCCATGCCAAACTCACCAGCATTCGTCTCTTTCTCTTGAATGATGGAGTGCTACTGTGGCAACTTAATGTATTAAGAAGCCTGTTGTCAAAGATCAAGGAGAAGTCAAGCACTAACTTTCAACAGAGCTTGGCGCCCATTCTTTCCAACATGGAAATGGTTGCCACCTCCATTAGCACCCTATGGGCCTTGATTACAAAACCAGAATAAAAGAACTATCCTACTGGATGGTCATTATTTAGTACGCTCATAGATCCTTTCAGTTTGTTCCAGGCATCCCTACTTAGTGCTGATGTTATTTCCACAACTGAAAACAATGAATCCCACCAAGGTGCATATTCCTATGCTCCAAAATTGATCCTTATCTAAAACATTTCTCTGCTTCTGTGACAGGAATGAATGGCCATTCAGTTGTGGCAGTGACCTCCTCTGTTTCTTTGTTAGGTTGAATGATAGTGGTCATGCTGTGTCATTGTTGTGCGATGTCCCAAATTCTAGTCCGTTTTACATTATCAGTTTTGTCATAATGCTGGAATGTCCAAGACTCAAACCCCATCTGTACGCACGCATATGTGTAGCCTCTGTTAAGACTTGGCTTTCATTTATAGTACTTGTGTCAGTGGGGTTTGGGTTTTCTCACCCAGCATATTTCGTAAAGCCCAAATGAAGGGATTTGAATCTCACATCATTATTGCAGTATTTTCATAGAAATATAGCATAAGTTGTTGGCCATTCAGCTCTTTGAACTTGTTTTCACCATTCAATTAGATCATTATTGATTTTTGCCGACCTTTTGATGGTATCTCTTGATGCCCTTGCCTAATTTAAATTTGTTTTGAAAATTTTGCTTGACCTTTTAAACTTGTACAGAACATGGTTCAGCCTTAACTGGAGCACTGTGTCCGGTTGTGGGCATCATACTTCACGAAAGATGTCAAGCAATTGGAGAGGGTGCAAAAAAGATTTACAAGAAATGCCCTAAGATTGAGGGACTTCAGATACATAGATTGAGGAAGTTGGAATTATTTTCCTTGGAGAAGAGAAAGTTGAGAGGATATTTGGTTTAAGTATTCAATACCTGGACAGAGTAGATAACAAGAAAGGATTGAGAAATAGAGGGTGAAGATGTAAGATAATTGGCAAAAGAAGCAAAAGTGAGAGAGATAGAAACTTTTTTATGCAGTGTGGTGTGCCTGGAGCTAGATATATTCACTCGAATGAGGTATGGTGAAGACTGTGTGCATTTTTTTTGCTTTTACTTCAGATAAAGGTAAAAGTTTATAGGATAATAGGGAAAGATCAGGTGAAAGACTAACTAAATAGCTGAACAAAAGAGCAGGCATAGCCAAATTGGGCATTTCTTGTATCATTCTGATTCTGTCATTCTATATATTCTCTTTCATTTGGCAATTCTGCTTGCTTGTGATGAGTGCTTCTGACACTTTCTGCCAATCTTAGCACATTTGTTTTATCCTTACTCTGTTTCTCTCTCCCAGTCGTCACTAACCCATACCAAAACTTACCTAAATTTCCGTATTCTATTATTTTGGTTGATAGTGTCACAGGTGGAACCAAATTAAAGCCTTCTCCGAGTCTGTGGGCCAATTCAAAATATGAATAATGTTTTCAGATCAGAAATTGAGGACAAAGTTTTATCTCATTTCCCAAAGTGGCACGTTTCGAGGAATGGTTAACATTCTATATACTAGTCTGCGAGAATTGTAAAGAATAGTCACAGTGTTTAATGTATCTTAGCAGAAGAAAACTATCTTTCCGGTCGCCTTAAATGTTTGAATTTATTTGAAGGCTGTCTAGAGAATGTGTAACAATGTTTCACCATTAACACACTATGGGAACGGCAGAATGTGAGGACAGGATGTATGTGATATTAAAATGATATTCTGTAGAATTAATTTTAATTCATACAATGATATTTTTCCTATACTGTCGATGGTATTAACACATTTTACACACCAAGTACTTTTTTGAAAGTTTATATTCTCCAAGTAGCAGGTAAGCAAGTTGTTTCATTATGGAGGAGTTCATAGCTATGCTCACTTAACGAGGAATACTGAATACTGACAGCAATGGATCCCTGTAATGAGAGTTAATTTAGTATAATCAGGAGTCACGCACTGCTTTCAACTAAACTGGCGAGATCACTTGCAATGTTTTAAAGCTTATGGCTGACAAAAGACAATTACACCAAATGCGTTGCACGGTAACATTATTTCAGACAGTAAATTGTTTAATAAATCAATAACTGATCTAATCCATGATGAATAAGGGAAAAGATATAGCAGATTGCATGTTTGAGTACACTTTTGCTAATGAACTTTTTTTTATATTTCCTGAACCCCCCCCCCCCCCCAACCACCACCACCACCACCGATCCATCACTCTTTCCTATCTGACTACAGGACTTAAGGAAATTAGTGGCACCATTACTGAAGAGTTTCCAGGCAGAGGTGAGTCTCATTTCAGATTTTGTAAAACCAAACGAAGTAATGGTTTAAAGAGAACCTTTATTGGTGGTCGTAGGATATCAATTCAAAAAAAAATTTCAAACTATATAGCCGTTGAATTGCACCACTTAATTTGTGGTTCTTTAATAAATTATATTTGGAGCATATTAAAAGGCACAGAATGCTTACATGCAGAACAAAGCCATTTGGTCTATTGTAACTGTGCTTGCGAGAAATGAGCCACTTTACCTAATCCCACTTTTCAGCACTTAGTTCATAGACCTGCAGGTACCGCTTTAGTGGTAGATATCCAGACACATTTATGTAAGTTGTAATAACAGTTATTAAAGTTTTTTCTGTCATTATTTCTGATAATTAAACTTAGCTATGTATTTATTTACAACTTGGTACTCAGACATAGCTGCTTTTACTTTTTTTGGTGTTTCTAAGTTAGCTGATGGTTCGAAGCTAGGAGGGAAAGCAAGTTGTGGGGAGCATGCAAAGAGACCTTAAAAGAATTTAGACAGATTAAGTGAATGTGAAAGAATGTAGCAAATGAATATAATGTGGAAGAATGTGAAATTATTCATTTGGTAGGAATATTAGAAAATCAAAATATTTTACAAGGTTTGAGATCAGAGGGATCTTGGTGCTATTGTATATTAAATACAGAAAATCAACATGCCATTGCAGCATGCAATTAGGAAAGAAAATAGCATGTTAGTCATTGCTCCAGATGGATTTATGTATGAGTATAGAAGTCTTACTGCAATTATAGAGAGCTTTGGTGAGACCACACAGTGTATTGTGTCAGTTTCAGTCTCCTTACCTAAGGAATATGCTTACTTTGGAAGATGGGCAGCAGATTGATTATATGGGCAGTATTTTGATTTTTAGGGTGAGAGATTTTCAGTGAGAAATTGAGTAGGTTTATTGTAATTTCTCTCTAGTTTAGAAGAATGAAAGGTGATCTTGTAGAACATTCTGAACTGAGTTGGCAGGGTAGATAGTTGATGTCCCGCTGAGTAGGGATTCTCTACCATAGCGTGCTTGGTTATTGAGCCAATTCAAATCAGAAATCAATTGATATTTAGATATTGACATAATCAAGAGATATTCCAATATTGTGAGAAGATACTGCTGAGGGAGTATCCGCAATGATTGTCATGAATTGCGAAGCAGGCTACTAGGGCTGAATGACCTACTCTGCCTGTTTCTATTTCTTATGATTTTATGGTCCATTTTTTCTCTTATAGAAACTTGCAGGATGTCAAAGTTTGTAAATATGTTTAAGTTTCATTAGGACGAAATTCTATTGATGTATTTGGAAAACCTTATTTGCTTGGAATTCAATGATGTAAATCACATTGTGAGGTACTGTTTAGTGGAAAACACTTCTGTGTGGCTTGTTTATGACAAAAACCTGTTTGTACCTGGTAGCAATCTCTAATATGCTTTCAACAGGAGGACTTGCTTCCCTCGTCAATTTTAAAACTATGTTTCATCTAGGTTTGTTTATGTTTAGATTATTTTCTCTGTGCTGCTTGCTTATAGGTCATTGCAGAGGATCAGCCATAAAACCAAATAAGAAAAACTCTTGATTTGTTTGCACAAGCATGAGTTGTATTTGCATATAAAATATATTCACGTTTTATTATGTTACGTCTTTTTGAAATAAAAATGCCTTACCTAAAATACCCCAAGCATAGAATCTGGAGCAGACAAGAACTCCATAGAAAAACTCTTTTTCAGTTTAACTAGCAGACTTACTTACTGACAATTCATCTCGTTGTACGTTCAAACCTGAATGTGATTTTTGGATACCGAAGGTTTGAAAATGCACTAGAATTTCTTGAACATTACATAAATTTTAGACAGTGAATAATAGCTGGCATCTAAATAGAACAAATAGCATTACGTTGCTTCTAATAATTGTGCCTGCAGTAAGCAGATACAAACTTATTTCTTAACAAACTTTCTGAATATATACATAACGTCCTTACAGTGAGTAGGGAGTGAGCATCAATGTACTCATCGGATCTTCAAACACGTTCCCTTTTCCCTATTGGAATGACTTTGTGATCTCCACGTGAGTTGCAAAGACTTGTGTTTTCGATTATTTTGCTTTATTGTCGGTAAGTTAATGAATCTGTAAACTTGTTGAGCATTGCCAGATTAATTTTATGATCATCTACCTGATTGGCACTATTTTGTCAAGGCCTCGCCTACTGTCTGACCTGAGGCTGCCTTGTGCCCACCTTTTGATATGTGGCCTCACCCTGTGCTTGACTGTCCGAGTGTGGAATCAAAGGCTCTGCTGCCTGAGTTCTGTACCATGGAGCTTTTACCATTCTTGTCAGGCTTCAGACTGCCTGCTTGAGTTGTCCCCTGTTCCTGGCCACATTGAGCCACTGGCAATGTTGAGAGGCCACAGTGCTCATACTTGCTGGCTGCCACCGTTCCATGATCAGTTCAGTGTAACTACTCCTCTTGGCCTTCCTCCTCCTCCTCCTATGTGAAGCTCCATCAACACTGACATCCTGACGGCTATAAGTAACTTTCAGCAGTACTAAACTAACTTTTTTTCCTTGTTGAAACATAAAACTGCACTCCTGTTTTAAAATGTGGCACTCAAAAACGAGAAAGGAAATATCAACAAACTTTTCAGTTTAAGAACCATTCTTGAATACATGCCTGTTACATTGCCTTTGAATTCGAGATTTAATTTACTCCCTCCACCACCGATGCTCAGTAGTGAGCAGCAGTGTGTACTATCTACAAGATGCACTGCTGAAATTCATCAAAGATCCTCAGACAGCGCCTTCCAACCCACGACCACTTCCATCTAGAAGGACAAGGGCAGTAGACATATGGGAACAGCACCACCACCAAGTTCCCCTCCAAGTTCCCCTCCAAGCCATTCACTATCCTGACTTGGAAATATATGGCCGTTCCTTCACTGTCGCTGGGTCAAAGTCCTGGAATTACCTCCCTAATGGCATTGTGGGTTAACCTATAGCTGGTGGACTGCAGCGGTTCAAGAAGGCAGCTCATTACCGCTTTCTCAAGGGCAACGAGGGATGGGCAATGAGTGCTGGCCAGCCAGCGATGCCCACATCCCACAAATGAATTTTTAAAAAAAACTGAGTTTATATTTCCCATCTGTAATAAACATATTTCTCTGGATCATTAGTCAGTACCTCTAGACCACAATTTCAGAGCAATGACCACGATTTTACTGTTCCATGTGCATGTCAGTATTTGTTTGGCAGATGAGGTTCTCATACTTGAAAGAAGCAGAATAGATCATTATTCAGTCAGTTATTGTTTATGTGGAGTGAATAATTCAATTTGAATTACTGCTTCCCCCCTTCCAAGAATCTATAAAAGGAATGAAAGAAAATTTTGTTCGCTATTTAAATTTATGGATAACCTGGTTTTGTGACCTTTGGAGTGCATTGTCAGGAGATTAAAACAGTCAGTAATTATTATCATAGATGGGGATACAGATGGCACATGACTGTCCTTAAAGTTCAATTTGATGTGTTCCCTCTTTGAGATTTGCAGTGTTTGCAGTCTTTATTATCCTGAAGAAAATGCTGTTTTGAATTCCTGATGCTTAATAAAAGTGGCTTCTCCTGTTTGTAATTTGATGTTGATATAGTGCTTGGAAATTGAACATAAGAACCAGGAGCCCACTCTGCCATTTAATAAGATCATGGCTGATCTTTTTGTGGCCTCACTCCACTTACCCACCCTCTCACCATAACCCTTAATTCCTCTGCTGTTCAAAAAATTATTTATCATAGCTTTAAAAACAGTCACTAGGCTGGGAATTTCACAGATTCACAACCCTTTGAGCGAAGGCGTTCCTCCTCGATTCAGTCCTAAATCTGCTGCCCCTAATCTTGAGACTATGCCCTCTTGTTCTAGTTTCACCCACCAGTGGAAACATCCTCCCTGCTTCTATCTTATCTATTCACTTTATAATTTTATATGTTTCTATAAGATGCCCCCTCATTCGTCTCATTCCCCGTCTACACAGTCTCTCCTCATAAGCCAACTCTCTCAACTCCAGAATCAAACTAATAAATCTCCTCTGCGTCCCTCCAGTGCCAGTACATCCTTTCTCAAGTAAGGAGTCCAAAATTGCACGGAGTACTCCAGGTGTGGCCTCACCAGCACCTTGTACAGCTGCAACATAACTACCCTGCTCTTAAACTCAATCCCTCTTGCAATGAAGGACAAAATTCCATTTGCCTTCTTAATTACCTGTTGCGCCTGCAAACCAACCTTCTGCGATTCATGCACAAGGACACCCAGGTCTCTCTGCAAATAACAGTCCTTTCTACTGTTACTCCTACCAAATTGGATGACTTCACATTTATCGACATTGTACTCCATCTGCCAGACCTTTGCCTACTCACTTAAACTATCTATGTCCCTCTGCAAACTTTCAGAGTCCTCTACACACTTTGCTCTATCACTCATCTTACTATCAGCCGCAAAATATGGACACACTACACATGGTTCCCAACTCCAAATTATCTAAGAAAATTCAAAAAAATTGTGATCCCAACACTGATCCCTGAGGCACATCACTAGTCACTTCGCCAACCAGAAAAGCATTCATTTATCCCCTCTCTTTGCTTCCTGTTATTTAACCAATCCTCTATCCATGCTAATACATTGCCTGTAACGCTGTGCACCTTTATCTATGAGCAGCCTTTTGTGCGGCACCTTGTCAAATACCCTTTGGAAATCTAGATACACCACATCTAGTGGGTCCCAGTTGTCCACTTCACTCGTAATGTCTTCATAGAATTCCAGTTAATTTGAGGAGATGTTGACAAAGTGCTCTGTATCATTATAGTACTTTAGATTTCTTAGAGAAAATAAAGCATGAGCAATTACAGGAGATATAGTGGCAGCATGGATACTCAGTTGGCTAAGTGAAAGAAAGAAGAGAATAATGATGAGGTTTATTTTTCAGATGGGAAGGA